GGCTCCCCATTCATTCATGCCACAACCGAACGCCTTGGTGACCGATTTTCGGGTTGCTTTCCCCACACCTGCCAGGTCACTGTCCTGATTTGAGAAATTTCTTACTAAAGCAATTAATTTTTAGTGCCTCCTAACTGTCCCCGGTGTTTGCATTCAATCTGAAATCTGTTACTTGTTAGACACTGTTCGGGTCCTAGATCTCCCAGAGAATTGCGCGTTTATGGCGCAGTGAGGGGAGGAGGCAGGGATCTCTGAGAGCCGGCCCTTTATTCGGAAATGAGATGTGAAAGGTGGAAGGCAGGGCAAATAAATAAATAAATCGGGTTTACCGCGGGAGCGTTTGCCAGCCGCAACGAGCACCCTTTGTAATGCAGGCCTCCCGGGGCTATCGCCTTCGCTAATTGCTCCAGGGCGCTTTCCAAGTTCAAAAGTTCACCTTTTACGACCTCACAAAAGCTCCTTACACGTTACCAATAAAAACATTCCGCCGCAAACACCGAGGGGGAAAATATCAAACAGAAACAAAACACTGCGCGGGGGAAGGGGGGGAGCCAACCCGGAGGAACCTGCGGGCTGGGCCGGGACAAGGGGGACACAGCGGCCCGGCCAGGTGAGGAATTCACAGCACCCCGGAAGAGCTAGGCTGGGCGGCCAGCGAAGCGTCCGGCAAAGGACGGGAAAAGGCAGGTGTCCCGAGCCCCGGGGTCCCGCCGGAGACCTGAGCCTAGGAGAGGGAGCCTGGGCAAGGGGAGGCCGGGGGACGGGAGTGGGCACCGAGGTCCGAGGAGAGTCACCATTAGGGGTCTGGCAGAGGCGAACGCTCGCGGGGCTGGGAGGAAGCGTGGGGCTTCCTGAAGAAAAACGCCCCAGGATAGGTGCACGGTGCCAAGGTGTGGAGTCTGCGCGCCCCCAGATGAAGAAATAGGGTGCTCCATAAACCAGGGCCCCCTGAGGGAGAAAGGACTGGCGTAGGGGGGACAGCAGGGGGAGTTCGCGCTGAGGGGACCGGGACCCCGCGGAGAGAAAGTGCGAGCCCAGGGTGGAGTCTACGCTGAGGGCCGCCCGGCGTCCGGGGCCAGAGCCGGCTGAGAGAAAAGAGGGGATCGCGGGCGTTGGGACCGCCGGGACCCCGAAGGCCCTTCACCCACCGTTCCGCGGCGGCGGAGGGAGCGCGGCGGGCGGCTCCAGGAACCCCACCGAGCCCCCGCCGCCTCCCGCTCCGCTGGGCGGCCGTTCGTCCCGCTCCATGCGGCGGCGCTCAGGGCCCCCGCAGGCTTCGCTGCTCCGCCATGACTCGCGCCCTCGTAGTATTCGTCGTCGTCCACCGGGGGGAGGGGGCTGTCAGGGGCCGGCGGGCTCCCGGCCGCCGCGCGCTCTGGGCCCCGAGCCTCCCGGCTCCGCGCCCCTCCGCGCCGCGCCCCCTCAGCACTGGCCAGCTCCCTCCTCTGACGTCACGCGCTGCTGCCACGCACGTGCCCGCGGGACACACTAGGAATTGTAGTCCTCCAGGCGAGGCCGGTCACACTGGACTCTACCAATTGAGGGGGTGAGGTAAGAAGATAGGTAGTCCTGAGGAGGGAGAACCAAAACATGTCATTATTTTGAACTCTAATGAAACTTCCTATATATAGAGACCACAAATAGTTAGCCATGGTCCTCTCTGTTGTGACTTGTCCGTATACAGAGTTCCTTGTAATTCCGACACATTCCCCGCGCTAATAATGAGTCGTTCCAAGGAGGTGGGTCCACCAGGAGCCCGCTGAGCACGTGCAACCAAGCCCAGCCCTGTGGGGAAGGCCCCAGGGGGCGGGGTATGTAGGTACTCTGGAGGGCTTTCCTCCGGAGCTGCACAACAAATTGGACCAGAGATTAAAGGACCCGAGTTTAGCCAGAGGTGACTGCGTTCGTATGCAAATAGAATCTATACAGCTCTGCTTTCCGGTGAACTGTTTAAAGCCTCTAACCTCCGGAAGGGCGGGAAAGACTAAAGTTTCTCTTCCTCTTTCTTTCCCCGCACCCTGCCCATAGAACAGATGGGCAAACTAAGATCAGGGTCTTTGATGCCGTCAAAGAAAACTTGAAACTCTTGACTACGGGTATCCTAAAGAGCTGATCCTCTTCCAGCCTGTTCGTCCCACCTCTGCTCAGTTTACCTGTCTGAAAAATGGGAATTGTAATAAGAACTATGTCGGGCCGTGCGGTGGTGGCGCACGCCTTTAATCCTAGCACTTGGGAGGCAGAGGCAGGTAGATCTTTGTGAGTTCGAGACCAGCCTGGTCTACAAGAGCTAGTTCCAGGACAGGCTCCAAAACCACAGAAAAACCCTGTCTCGGAAAAAACAAACAAACAAACAAACAAAAAAACAAATAAGAACCATGTCAAATGATAAGATACTAACACACACACACATATGTCGCCTTCCGTTGCACCGTGTCCAATGCTAACATGCTAACACACACACGCATACGCACGTCGCCTCCGTTTACCGAAGTTTCTACCAAACAAAATCTAGATTTTTCTCCCCTTCCTCCACTTTGGCACAACTCCCGCGACCACAAGGTGGCGCGCGGCCACGGGCTTCAAGGCGAGCTGTGGGGACTGCTTTCCATGACGCCCCCCACCTCCCTTAGGAAACCACCGCTGTAGTAGGCTACAGCCCAGCACGTAAGCGCTATCTGACCCACTAGAAGACAAAGAACCCTAGTGCTTTACTTGCTTGTTCTCTGCTAGGTCATGTCGAAGCGTCTGCACTCTGTCACCTCACTGCCCCATCTGCCTCGGCAGTCCTCCGGTTCCTTGTGTGTCATTCCTTACTTGTTTAAAAGTCTTTATCCTGGCATATGCAGTCTAGCCTGTTCCGATTGCCTCCTGCCCACCCACACCTCTTTCCTCACCTGCTACTCAGGAGACTTTGCCACACCTACAGGCATTTTCCAACAGCTGTCCATTACCAATAGTTAACCTGGGTTTTATGCTTAATTCATACCAGCCGCCGTTAGAAGAGATTTACACAAATTATATGCTGTCTAAACCTCCCACACCTGCTCGATGAGGTATCCCTGATATTGTTGCTTTCACATGAAAATGGTATGGCCCAGAAGTGATTGCCATTATGTACTTGGTGGGCCAGAAAGCTGAAATACCACAGGGCAGTATTGACGCAAGCATTTGGGAGACAGAGGCAGGCGGATCTTTTTGAGTTCAAGGACAGCCTGGTCTACAGAGCTAGTTCCAGGACAACCAAGGCTACCCAAAGAAACCCTGTTTCGAAAAAAAACAAAACATAAAAGAAAGAAGAAAGCTGCACTGCCCTTGGCCTGACCACTATAAACTCTTAACTCATCTTTTTAGATCCTGTTCCAATCCTTCCTTAATACCTCTTATCGAGAGACAACTAGGTCCCTCTATGTTTCCACATGGCCCTGTCTATCTAGGTGGACTGTAAGAAATGGTCTTCCTCGCCACTTTCTGAGCTCCCCAAGGGCTGGGCACTATACTCCGCAGCAAGCCCTTAGTGTTGTAGGAAGAAATCCTTCTTCAGCTCTGCATTTCACCATGTGTCAGGATCACATGGTCTTCCCAGAGCCAGCTTTCTCTGCATCACAGGCCCCTTCCTTGGAATGCCAAGTGGCTGGGCAGACATCTGATGCCTGAGGATTGAAAGGTAGATAAAGATGAAGTCAGCCCAACGCTGAGTTCAGCCACATGCACACCTCCTGGAAACAGCTCTTTCTCCTGTTCAGCCCCACGCCTCCTCCTTCCCAAAGCCTCCCAAATACCCTTACCAGCCAATCCTTGGACTCTCGCCCCATTATCTCCTCTGCTACTGAGTCGCATGCAGTAGATGCTTGCAAATAGGCATCCACTAAGAGTCCAGCACCCAGACTGGGCCTTATTTCTCATTTTTTGACATTTTCCCCACAACCCTGAAAAGTGAGTTCCCTCTCTGAGTTTCCAGCTGAGGAGACAGCCTGTGTAAAGCAGATTTAAAGGGCCCTCGGCATTTATAGGGAATACAGGAGAAATGGAAAGGAAGGCCTCTGACGATGAGGGGGAGTCTGCAGGAGACACAGCTCAAACCGAGATCCCAAAGCCAATCAGGAACTTGGTACATTTGAGCTGTGGGTTATCCATGGTGACAGAGATGACTGTAGGAGGATGCCATTGGTTGTCCAGAAGAGGGCAGAGTTCCTCTGATGGCCTTGCTCTAGCAGGACAAGCCTTAAAGAGTCAGTTAAGCCAGCGGTAGTGGCACAAGCCTTTAATCCCAGGGAGACAGAGGCAGGTGGATCTCTGTAAATTTGAGGCCAGCCTGGTCTACACAACGAGTTCCACGACAGACTCCAAAGCTACACAGAGAAACGCTGCCTTGAAACAAACAAACAAAAAGTAGCTATTATTGGCACAACAGAGAGAAGAAAGACGGAAGATGTGAAAGAGAAGGGACTCAGAGACTGGAGAGCTTTGTCAGAGCAAAGGATAAACTGTAAGTACTACTCGAACTTTGTAGCCATTCCCAAAGGGCAATTTAACTGTTCCTCCACCACTTTTTTGTTTTGTTTTGTTTGGAGGGGGGATGTTTTCTTTTGTTTGTTTTTTGGGACAGGGTTTCTCTGTGTACCCCTGACTGTCCTGGAACTCATTTTGTGGACCAGGCTGACCTCGAACTCAGAGATCCTCCTGATCTTGCCTCCCGAGTGTTGGGATTAAAGGCGTGCGCTAGCACCGCCCGACTATTTTCTCCCTTTCATCAATGGGGAAACTGGTACTCAAAAAGGCAAAGGGACACGTCTAAGGTCCTTCATTTCACAGAACGGAACCTCAGTTCGTCGCGAGCCCGTACTTCTCTTTCTGCCTGGCTGCAGCTATGGCTCTCTCCCACCGGCACTTCTCAATGCCTCAGGACCGCAGGGGATGGGCGGGGATGGGAGGGGAGGAGCGGGCACCCCTCCACCCTAGCTCCGCCCCCAGCGGCACTGCAGGGGCACCGGGCTGGGGGGCGCCCCGCGGCAAAGCCGGGCTGCAGCGTCGAGCTCGCCGTGCCGCTGGCGATCCCAAGCGTGCTCGTGGAGACGTCCGTTCCTGTCGAGCCATGGCAGCGGCAGCCCTCCGGCCTTGGTGCCTTCAGTTGAGGCTGCTGCTGCTGCTGCTGCTACTTTTGCTTTGGGCTGATCCCGTGCGGCCCGACAGTAAGGTACGTGCGCTGCGCTGCTGGAACCTGGCACAGCTCGGCGATGACCGGCGCGAGGGGGCGCTATGGCCGAGGAGGGTGCCTTCAGCGGGAAGATGGGGACTAGGAAAGGCAGATCAGACTTGGGACTTGGTCTGGATTCTGGAATCAAAAGCCTTAAAAAGGGACATGTGCGGGAAGAAGCATTGGTGATGATAGGGTGCTTGGGTCCTGGAGCTTGAGAAAGGCGCTGTGGACCTTGTAATGCTCAAAGATAGGGCCTCAAACCCAGGATCAAGTTGGGAAGTCCCAGGTGCTCAGGGGCTGGCAGGGAAAAGTGGTCAGTAAGAGCAACTGGTTGAGTTTCCATGCGGAGACCGCCCACGTGGTTGTAGACCCACGCGTGGGCAGTTATCCAGGTACTCTTGGGCTTGCAGTGGGCCTTAAACCAAGACTTTCAGGAGAGGCTGGGAACTCAGAGTTCTTTCCTAGTGAAAAGGACTGGCCGCCTGGCCTCTGAGACCTGAGCTCACACACTGTGTTCACCTGTCGCTGGTGCTTTTACCTCTCTTAGCCTCTCTCCCTCTTTCCCTCACTTCCTCCCTCCCTCTCCCCCTCCTTCCTGCCTTCCTGCCTGCCTGCCTTTCTTCCTTCCACAATCTCACTGTGTAATGGGAGGTAGAGGCTGGCAGATCACTGTAAATTCGAGGCCAGCCTAGTTTACAAAGCAAGTTCCAGGACGGCCCAGGTTGTTACACAGAGAAACCCTGTCTAGAAAAACAAAAACAAACAAACAAACAAACAAAAACCCTGACTGGCCTCAAACTCTCAGAGATCCTTCTGCATCTGCCTCCCCAGCTCTGGGATTAAAGACATCATTCCTACCCCTATAAGCATGGGGGGGGGGAGATTGTACCCACTCCCTGCTGTTGATGATTTCTAGATTCAATGAAAATATCAGAATGTTTAGCACCATACCTAGTAGGTGCCCTATGGATGCTACCACAAGAATTCAGGTATTAGATCCAGAACATAGAGGGAGCAAGAACAGATCAAGAACCTCTTAAGGTTCTAGAAATGACCTGATAAATGGGCCTAGAGCAGTATTTTCCAACCTGTGTGGGTCTCACCCCTCTGAAGTCAAATGATCCTTTCACTGGGGTCACGTATTCTGGATATCAGATGCTTATGTGTCATAGCAGTTATGAAGTGGCAATGAAATCATTTTATGGTTGGGGGTGGTCAGTGGCCTAGAGGAAACTGCTCACAGCGGATAGGGGCGGCAGTGACTTCTCTTGATGTCACTCCATTTTTTTTTCCCTGTGGAACCTAAGTCTGCCTGTGAGCAGGCAAAAGGTAAAAGCTATTTTGCTGTGCAAACTTGGAAATATGACTGCGTGTTTCTGGACTTCAGTTCCTCTAAATGAAAATAGATGCCCCCTCCGGTTCATTGTGCAAAATCCCAGATGACCTGATCACAATCTCTCACCCCCTGACTGTCCTCTGTGGCTGGGAAGTACTTTTGGACCTAAGCATCTCTAAGATTTGCAGAGGGCTGTAGTGCAGGAGGGCTTACATCCAAAACAAAGCCAAGACAAAGAAAACCCAACACCCTGTTTATGTAGTGAGTCAGCCAAACACTTGCTAGGATGGGAGGGGGTATATTTACTTGTCCCAGGGCAAGCTGGAGCTGGTGGAGTAGGGAGGATAAAGCGGCTGGGGACCCAGCTCAACCCTCCCCTAGAGACTTCCCATCCCTGCTCCACTTCAGCCAGCTGGGAAAAATAAAAATCAAGTGCTGAGTGCATTTCCTCTGCATTCCTGCCCAGCCAGACTCCTGCTGGCTCTGCAGAGCTGCTTTCATTATCACCCTCCCTCCACAGTAAGGTAAGGACCCAACTTCTTCCCCTCTAAGCCTGGCCTGTTTTTGTTGGGGGAGGGGAGGAGCTTAGAGGACCAGGACCACCTTGGAACTTGAAGTGAATCGAGGGTCCCAGAGCCTTGAGTTTGCCTCTCATCAGCCTTCCTTTCTGCCAAGCTCCTGCCCATTGTACTCACCCTGGTACTGCTGGTTGCCCTGCATTCTAAGTTGCTGTTTACAGTGAGGCTCTCCTAAACAGGATTTGGAGTTTCCATCTAAGGAAGTGCTTTGTCTGACCTGAAGTAAGAGGGAACTCCCAGCTGCCCTGGTGTTTCTGCATGGCTGCCTAGCATCAAGGCTGGGGAGAACAGGCAGTTAAGACTGCATGCATGACACCCCGGCATGACTGCAGAGACTCCTGGGATGGGATAATTTACCTGCTCCTCCGACTGAGAAAGAGCTCCTAGGACCTCACTCTTCATACATGCCGGGACAGAAAGGGCTTGAGCAAAGAGAGCAAGGGACCGGTCCAGACTTAGCCCAGCAGGCTGTGGTTTCCTGGGCCAGGTCAGATGTTCCAGGCAGGCCAGTCCCAGGGGCTTAGGTGTTGCTTCCCATCTATTCCCAGAGTTTCCGCATGTGGGAGTAATTGGAAGCAGGCCCCTGAGCAGAAAAGGCAGAATGACATGGTCATGTCATTCTTTGTGGTACAGTGTCAAGCCAAACGAAACCCCACCATCTCTCTATAAGGAATGGGCCTGCCTCAACACTCCCGGGAGAGCATAGAATGCTGGGACTAGGTCCATGCCCAGCATTTTACATTCAATATCACATACAACTGCCAAAGGTTAGTGGTCCCTCCCCAGGGAATAGATCTGAATACCCTAAAGAATCACACTGGGGTGGTGGTGGCGCATGCCTTTAATCCCAGCACTCAAGAGGCAGAGGCAGAAGGATCTCTGTGAGTCTGAGGCCAGCCTGGTCTACAGAGCAAGTTCCAGGATAGCCAGGGCTACACAGAGAAAAACCTGTCTCTCAAAATAATAATAATAATAATGATAATAATAATATTAATAATTCTGGGAAACTGAGGCATCTGCACTTTCCTAGTACAACCCCAGATACTTCGTGGGTACAGCCCCAGCCCAGCCCAGAACTTATGGAGACAAAATGGAACTAAGATCTGTGGAGCCAGGGAGTAGCAGATCCTCAAAGAAAGTGATGTTTGGAAGATTAATCTAGCAGAGAGGAATGCACACTGACATGGGGCTGTGGTCATGGAGTTGGTGGCAAGGTAAAAAGTGGGGCAGATTTAGGGTAACACCTCAAGAAACCATTACTACTAGTAAGTTGTCCAGGGTACAAAGGAGGCACGGAGACCTCACCGGGCAGGACGGAAGGTGGACACAGGATGGGATAAGATGCTGCCTGGAGTTTACCACATTGAATTTGAGGCCTCCAGAAAGAGGTGTCTGGATGACGGTGGACTTCAATTGAGGGCTTTGCAGGTGAGCTCCCTCAGGTGAAGTGAGACAGTCATGAAGAAGGCAGCCCCAACCTCAATACAAACCTCATGGGAGCCTGCCCAGTCATTATAGGAACACTCCCTTACTCTAGCAAGAGTTATCCGGCTCTCTTCAAAAACACCTCTAGCTTAAAAAAGAAAAGAAAAGAAAAGAAAAGGGCTGGGGAGATGGCTCAGTGGTTAAGAGCATTGCCTGCTCTTCAAATGTCCTGAGTTCAATTCCCAGCAACCACAGGATGGCTCACAACCATCTGTAATGAGGTCTAGTGCCCTCTTCTGGCCTGCAGACATACATACAGACAGAATATTGTACTAAATAAATAAATAAATAAATAAAAAACACCTCTAGCTGTCTGTTACATGGTGAGCTTTCCTTCCAAATACCCAGAGGCCTTCTAAACCCTAACCACCAGCACTGACACATGGGGAGCTTTGATGGCACCATGTGCTGTGCACAGCTCCAGGGAAAGATGGGGGCTGAGGCAGGGATTTTCCTTCAGCCTTCATACCAAGGAGCAGACCCAGGAGGCAGTGCCAGGTCCCATGACCACCTTCTGTGTAGACCTCTGTAATCCCAGCTCGGTTGCCAGGGTAGGAGCCTTCCTTGGTTTATTGACTGCAGATGTTCAGGACGAGGGCACCACGTAAACACAATGTGGACAAGCTTCTAGACTTCTCTAATGTACCACGGAGTTGTGGTAAGGGCAGAGAGAGGTGGAAAACATGGAGGAAATGGGGGGGGGGGCTCCCAGAAGTAGCAGATATAGCATAGTTTACTTAAATTAGGAGTTACTCTGGGCCATAACTGCCAGGTGCTCTTCCTACATGGCTGCAGTTTCATGACAAGCTCAAGAAGGGATTGATAGCCACCCCATTTTACAGAGCAGGAAGCTGAGGTTCCAAGGGGTCAACACCATGCAGGAAGGAGGTATCCGGTATCAAAACTATAGCCCAGACATAGCTTTTCACCATGGTGCCTAGCTGGCTCCTGGCAGTGTGAGAGCCTTGGCCACCGCCATCAGGACATAGCACCTCATCTGAGAAGGCAGGAATGCAGTAGTCTAGTGTGGAGGCAGCTGCTGGATGGGGACGGTTAAAGTCAATGGGGGGGGGTCCTCCAGGAGAGTCCTCTATGGGTACACACACACACATCTATTTGCTGGGCTTTTGACCCTGATGGGGAAGTAATACAGTATCGTGGAGTTTTGGCAGAGCTGAGATGATGTGAGTTCCTTTCTGGTGGGGTTCTGGGACCAGCAAAAACCTCAGGAACCAGCAGACCTCTGAGGCTGGCTGGCTGTTCACAAGCAGGGGAATAGTCTGCAACACCTAGAGTACACTCCACCACAGAGGACCAAGACAGAAAGCAGGACCGCAGCCTTCTAACTCTCCTCTCCGCCCTCTGTTCCCTGTTCCGCCCACAGTCACACACACACACACACACACACACACACACACACACACACACACAGCTGCAGAAAAAAACAGAGGAAATCCACACGGCCCAGGCTTATCCTCTTCAACCTGGCATTTTATGGCTTAGGGGCTATTTTCTTATCTGTATGATGTTGCTAACAATAGAAAAAGTAGACCAGTGCACCCACCCAGGGAAACAGATCACCTACAACTCAGTGTGTTCCTGCCCTGTCTGTGGGACCAGCACTCCACCTCTCAGTCCCCCTGTGTCCTTGGTGGGATCTTTGCCCACAGCTGTCAGCCCTAGGCTAACCTGGTTGACCGTGGTCTCCAGCCTCCCTGCCATCAAATAGCACACGGGGCTGGGCGGTGGTGGCGCACGCCTTTAATCCCAGCACCCAGGAAGCAGAAGCAGGCGGATCACTGAGTTCCTGGCCAACCTGGTTTACAGAGCTAGCTCCAGGACAGCCAAGGCTACACAGAGAAACCCTGTCTCGAAAAACCAAATAAAATAAAATAGCACATTGGAGAGGGTGAGCCCAGGCGGTGTGGATTGCATTGCTTGTGAAGCTGTGGAGAGTGCATGCTGCAGGGAAAGCTGGAAGGAGTAGGGAGGGAAGGCAGCGGGATGGGCTGCAGAGAAGAACCACTCTTTGGGGCACACCCTCAATGACATAGGCCCCCTCCCCGGTTGCACCGCCTCCCAGAAATGCCATCCAATTATGAATCCATCCGTGGATTAAGCCGCAGATGAGCTCAGAGCTTTGTGATTCCTCCTCCCTGACCCATCAGCAAGCAACTGAGCCTTTAGCACAAGAATCTTGGGGAACATTTCAGATTCAAATAGAAAGCTGAGATCCTCAGCCAGCCAGCCCTAGACTCTCTAAGACTGGGCTCTGCCATGTCTATAGTTTCACCACCTCCTGCCACCCTGCACCCTTGAAAGCACCAGTCAGAGTGATCTTCCCACCCCCGCTCCCAAAGCCTCCTGAAAAGCCAGACTCTCTTGTTTTTGTCTGATTTGCTTTCCAGCAATGTCCTCTCCACAAGGACACACTGCTCCAAGCCCCCTCAACACTCTGTGCTCTCAGCCTCTGCATTGCACTCAGGAAGTAGAGGCAGGCAAATCTCTGAGTTCAAGGCCAGCCTAGTCTACAGAGTGAGTTCCAGAACAGCCAGAGTTATACAGAGAAACTCTGTCTCGAAAAACAGACAAACAAAAACTAACAAAAAACGAAGAAGCCAAAATGTTCCCTGATCTATTTCTCCTGCACCTCTAGCTGTCACCCTCTGGCCTGGCAGAAGCCAGGGGCTCACATAGGTATCTGAGGATCTGGAGAGAAAATGAAAGTCTAAGTCCCCTCCTTTAGGCAGCGTCTCGGGGCTCAACAGAGGTCCAGGGTGCCATGAGCTCACCTGTGTCCTAATGGTTTCTTATCCAGTGACAGCTGAGCAGCTGTAGCCCTGGGGTGAGTTATTGCTAGCTGGGCTGGGACTAGTTGTTCACTAAGGGTCTGGGGCCCAAGGTACAGGCCAGGTGTATCTGTGCCAGGCACCTGCCTCCCATCTCACTAGGTTGATATCTGAGGACACAGAGCTGGTGATGTCCCCGAAACAAGTGGCCACATGAGGTCATGGGGTGTGTAGCATCCAAGGGTGGCGTTGAAGGAGGGGAGGTGCAGAAAAGGAAACCACTGGCTTGAGGTTGTGTTGTCTTATGTGATCCCAGCCTTGAGAAGTCTGGATACTCCATTGTGCCATTGAAGACATGGGGTTAGAGCCTGCTGAAGGTCCCCTCTACCCAGGGCATAGGAGAACAGCTCTGTAGAAGTCACCTAGGAAAAAGCTCTTGAGGCCCCACTCCTCACCATGAGACAATTGGCAGTTAATGATTGTGGGTTAGGGGTGTCGTTTTAAAACTCAGTGAGACACCATCAAAGTAGGGGACATGGGACAACTAAAGGTTTCAGCAGGAGAGAGAGATGATAAAGGGAATGGGAAGAAAATGGCCAAAATATATCATATACATGAGTGAAACTGAAAGAATGAATAAAAGGAGCTGCAGAGCAATGGTGTGTTGTGGGCCAGTCTTCAACCTCAAAATGGTGTCATCTTTAAGCTTGTGACCTGCTGGGCAGTGGTGACGCACACCTCTAATCCCAGCACTTGGGAGGCAGAGGCAGGTGATCTTCTCCGTGAGTTCAAGGCCAGCCTGGTCTACAAGAGCTAGTTCTAGGACAACTAGGGCTGTTACACAGAGAAACCCTGTCTTGAAAAACAAAACAAAGCAAAACAAACAAACAAAAAAGAAACCCTTGTGACTCTAAGCCTGTTTTCATCTGTGTTAATGGCACAAACCTAAGGCACACTTTATATGTGTTTTTTATGTTTTGTTCTGTTTGATTTTTTTCTATGTTTCATTGACTCATCACCAGCCCGAGTCTTACATATGCAGGAAAATGACAGGGACAGAAAGGATGCTACCTGTTGCCCTCTCACCCAGGATCCAAGCCATGTGCGGTTTTGTTTTCTTTTCTTTTTCTTTTTGACAGAGTTTCTCAGTGTAGCCTTGGCTGTCCTGGAACTTGCTTTGTAGACCAGGCTGGCCTCAAACTCCCAGAGATCTGCCTACCTCTGCCTCTGGAGTGCTGGGATTAAAAGAGTACACCACCACCACCACGCACAGTTCCGTGTTTTGAACTTTTCCACAGCTAGGCATTAACGTTTGAATTGCAGTTGTGTGTGATGTGCTGTTGAGTCCCTGCCTCTTCTCAGCTACCTCTAAGTGCCACCACCCCAGCCCTGTCACCACAGTACGACACATGGAACCCCACTGGCCCACCCTTTGTAGGTGTTCAGCAACCTGGACCAGGTACGGATGACCTCAGAGGGCTCTGACTGCCGCTGCAAATGCCTTCTGAGACCACTGAGCAAGGATGCGTGCAACCGGGTACGAAGTGGGCGTGGACGAGCAGAGGACTTCTACACTGTGGAGACCCTGAGTTCAGGGACCGACTGTCGCTGCTCCTGCACTGCTCCTCCTTCCTCACTCAACCCCTGTGAGAATGAGTGGAAGATGGAAAAACTCAAGAAGCAGGCACCTGAGCTCCTCAAGGTAGGCTGACATAGTGAGGGGGTGCCCTGGCTCCCCCAAGACATCAATGTCACAGGTGAGTGAAGCCAGATGAAGTCAGTAGGGCCCCTTGAAGCACCCACTGTCCTGGGTGTCATCTAAACAATTTCTTTACCTTCGCCTAGTTATATTACAAATGCTGGGGCATTTTATTATTATTTTGTTTGTCCTGTCTTGCTTTTTGAGAGAAGGTCATACAATTTGGCCTGGATTCACTATATATATATACCAGGATAGCCAGCCTGGAATTTGCAGCAATCCTCTGTTGCATGAGTTCTGGGATGACTGGCTTTTGCCGTCATGTCAGGGTTATTTTTGCTTATTTTAATCGACATAGGGGTTCCAGGCTTGCTTCAAACTTCCTATGTAGTCCAAGACGACCTTGAACTCTGATCCTCCTACCTCTGCTTACCAAGTACTGATATTACATGTGGGCAGCAGCATGCCAGTACTTGGTGGGCCAGGTGAGGCTGGGCTTTGAACCCAGATCCTGTTGTGTCTAAATATGTGTCTAAACCACCTGCTCCTCCACCTTTCTCTAAAGGACCACTTTGTTAGATCTTATAAAGGGTAAGTTTGTTTCATATCTTATAAAATTATTTTTTATTTTATAATGTATATGAATGTTTTGCCTATATGTATATAAATGTATTACATGCATGTCTGCTGCCTTTGGAAATAAGAGGACATCAGATCCCCTGGAACTGGAGTTACAGGTGCTGAACTCAGGTTCTCTGCAAGAGTAGCAAGTCGTCTTAACTGCTGAGCCATCTCTCTGCTCCCTCCTGTCTTGGTATCTTTGTCTTTTCTCTTACAGTGTCTTCCAAACATGCATCTCATTGGCCTGTTGGTGTTGGAAACAATGAATGATCTGAGGTGCTACCCAACATATAAGTTTACAAGGTGACATAACCCTGGATGCTAGTGGAAGACCCAGCTTCCTGGGTCACAGACAAGGGACTTGATGGCTCCCAGCTCATCTCCATTCTCTTCGCTGGTTTGCTGTGCTCCAGCCTACTGTAATCAGTATGGTATTCAGTATGGTATGGGATAGAGGATCCCTGAGTTCAGAGAACTACAACCTTGTGTCTGTCATTCCCTGCAGGGAAATACTGTCTCATGACCCAAGACTACTCTAACTAGATGAGTCGGAAGTAGGCTGGTTGGTTCCTTTGCATGCAAGACACACAGAGAAGCAAGAGGCCCATAAAGTGCTGTCTCCAGTATTTGGCTAAAAATGTTTTCTTTTAATTTAACTTTAGTTTTATTTTTGTACTATATAAATAGATGCCAAAATTATCAAACTTGGAGGGAGTAGCCCATTTTAAGCCAGTGATCCTCTGACAGTTTGGCAGTGTCTGGATCACACTGACTCCATGGGGCCTGCCAGTGCCCTGTTTTCTCCAGCATCTAACCCACAGACCTGCTGCAGCTACAGGGACAATCTCAGTTTCTCCTCAAATGAGAGGTCCAAGAGCTGGAGGTTCTGTTTGTGTTTCGACTTGTAGACCCAAGATCTCACACTGTAGCCCAGGCTGACCTCATACTTGTAGCAACAATCCTCCTGCCTCAGCCTCCCAAGTGCTTCTGCAGCTGAGTTGTGAGCCTGCTCACTATGAAGTCACCAAAGGCCTCTGTCTAAACGCTGCCTCATGCCATCCTTGCTGGAGTCCTTTAGGAAGGGGGCTTATGGTGACAGATTTACCTGTCATGGTCTCTGAATCCAAATTGCCTGAAGTCACCAAGAGGAGTGGGCTAAGCCCCAAATTCTCTGTTGAGGTCACTTGCCCACCTAAAAGGTCACCAGGCTGAGGTTCCTACCAAGTCACTGTCCCTAGGCCTTCTGTGCATGGCAGACACTAGGTCTTACCACACGGTCTTGACCAGACCTTAGAGATAGAGGAACCCCAGCAGGTAGGACATGCCAGAGGCAGGAGAGATTGCCTAAAGTGTACCCAGGGAACCCCCAAAATGAGAATGGGCCAGAGGCAGTGGGAGCCAGTACAAGGGTTTCTCCCACTCAGTTGGCCCTGCTGCCATCAGCAGGAACCCTGTGTGAACATCCCAGGGAGGGACAGAACTGGCCTTGCAGCCTACCTCTATCCCAGCCCCTTCACCCATGCGAATACCTCCAGTTGTGGTCTGGCCTAGGCTACATAGCCGTAAAGGAGAGGGGATGCCCTCCTGCCCTTGCCCCATTTCTTGGCTAGACTGGCCAAAAAAAATGCCTTTTAACCACTTCCCTCTTTTTCTTTCTGAACATGGGCCAGACATAGCCCCATCTTTGAGGAGTCACCAGGCTTCTAAGGACACAGCTGCTGGCCCCAACAATGGCAATATGCTCTGTACTGACTGGGCTAGGGATTGTGCCAGGGATCATGGGAGCCCCAAAGCAAGAATAACAGTGAGCCTGGGCCTGGGCCTGGGCCTGAGCAATGTGTAGGAATCCTCAGGCAGATGGAGTGTTCTCGATAGAGGTTGGTGGAATGCTGTGACGGATGCATCTGTGCCCTCTCTAGCCCTGTTTAGTCCCATGACTACCTGTCACTTCCTCATGTACGTGATGCATGGCTTCTGATCACTATCTGTAGTGAAGATCCAATTTAAAAGGGTGGCAGTGGGAAGGGAAGCTGGAGGTGTGACTCCGTGGTTAAGAGCCCTGTTGCTCCTCCAGAGAACCTGGATTCAATACCCAGCACCTACCTGCCAGCACACAACTGTCTGTAATTCCTGTTCCATTGAGTCTGACATCCTCTTCTGGCTTCTGAGCACACCTGCACTCATGTAAACACACACACACACACACAAGTTAAAAACAACTACAGTTTGAAAAGGCCTATCAAGAGGTGAGTCTCAGGACTGGAGACTCTATCTGCTCTTTCAGAGGTCCTGAGTTCAATTCCCAGCACCCACATGGTGGCTCACAACCATCTGTAATGAGATACAGGCATAGATGCAGGTAGAACACTATATACATAATAAATAAATAGGTCTTTTTTTAAAAAAAGAAAAAAAGAAAGAAAGAAAGAAAGAAAGAAAGAAAGAAAGAAAGAAAAGAGGTGAGTCCCCTCCATATGCAGCCACGTTGGCTACCGAGGATGTGACCCAGAGGTGCAAGGAGCTGGGGCATCACATATCAAACTCCACACCACCGGAAGAAACAGGATCAAGACCCCTGGACCTAGAGCCCAGTCAGCACTCGGAGTTCTTGCTCACTCAGGGATGAAGACTGGGTGGATTGAGGATGTCACCCCCATTCCCTCTGACAGCACCTGAAGGAAGGGGCTTGTCATGGTCACCGTCTGTGAACAGGACCTCTCAAATTTCTGTTAATAAATTGCTTTGTATAAACTTAAGAAAAAAAAGTCTGTCAATGCCAGTCATAGTGTCTCAGGTCTTTAATCCCAGCACTTGGGATTGAAGCAGGAGGATCTCTGAGTTTTTTTTTTTTTTTTTTTTTTTTTTTTTTTTGATTTTTCGAGACAGGGTTTCTCCGTAGCTTTTGGTTCCTGCCCTGGAACTAGCTCTTGTAGACCAGGCTGGCCTCGAACTTACAGAGATCCGCCTGCCTCTGCCTCCCGAGTGCTGGGATTAAAGGCGTGCGCCACCACCGCCCGGCTCTGAGTTTGAAGACAGCCTGGTCTACACGGTGAGTTCCAGGACAGCCAGGGCTGCACAGAGAAACCCTGTCTTGAAACAAACGAAAGAGTCTGTCAAGGACTAATACTTTGTGAAATGTTCTAGAAATGGACTTTAGATAAATGAAGTTGGAGTACAGGTCGGTGGTAGAGCACTTGCTTAGCGTGCACAGGTTCCCTCAGTGCAGAAAAGGGAAGGAGAGGAAAAAGAAGAGGAAGGGGCTGGGGAGAGGGAGCGCAATGAGTAAAGTGTCTGCTGTGCAAGCGTGAGGACCTGAATTTGAACCCCAGCGCCACACAAAGGCCAGCATGGAGTCACATGCTTGTAACCCAGTGCTGGGGGAGCAGAGACAGGAGGACCCTGGAGCTTGCTGACCACTCAGTCTAGCCAAAATGGTGACTTCCAGGATCCCTGTCTCAGGGTGTAAGATGGAGAGTGTTAGGAGACAACTAACATTGACCAATAGCATCCGCTGTTGAGCTCACCTACATTGGGAGATGGTGGAGGAAGAAATGAGAAAGGGTGGGGGGGAGGAAGATAGAGAGAGGAGGGGAAGGAAAGGGGAGTGGAGGGGAGGAAGGAAGGAAGGTAGGAAGCAGGCATGCCAAATTTGAGGTCCAATCTCTTATGAGTGTCAACCCAAGTAAAATTGCTTGGCCGGGGGCTACAAAGCATCATGGGAAACCAGAATCTCTTCTCCTGTTCTGCACTGATTTCTGCCACAGGCACCTCAAGCTGTTTGCTCCTACGCCTCTCAGCAGTAAAAAAGGCAGAGCTCCTTATCCCCCCCCCCCCACACACACACACACACACGCGCGCGGCTCTGAGCATAGGCCCCAGGGCTGGAGAGATGGTGCCTCCCTGAAGAACACTGGCTACTCTTGCAAAAGGACAGGGGTTTGAGTCCCAGCGCTCACATGGTAGCTCACAAACATATGTAACTCCAATTTCAGGGGATCCAATGGCCTCTTCTGCTCTCCAAAGTACCCACGTGATATACAGACATACATACAGGCAAAACACCCATACACATAAAATAAAAAAAATCTGAAAAAGTAAAAAGGTCCATGTTTCAGTTGGGTTGATCAATTAAAGTAGGCACACCTGTTGTCCAGTGATTCATGACCAAAAATCAAGTTATAAAAGTGTCCTCCACACTTGTATAGCAAAGTACATAAAGCGGGGCCATGAGGTTTGACCTCCCAAGTAAAACTGTGGCCAAGGGACAGCTGCAGCCTGACTCCGAGGAGCCTACAGCTGTCAGTCATACCGCGGGGCTGCCTCTGGAGACACACTGTAGCTCTGGAGTCCAGCCACTTTGTCACTCAAAAGACAGGCTTGCATGGAGAGGATGATTGCTGGGCACATAGTGCGGGTCAGAGGAGGAACTCCCTGTTCCATCATACAAAGGGTGATTGTGGATGATAACAGCTAATTGTCTATTTCAAAATATTTTATCAGAGAGGAACTTAAATGGTCCCATCACAGGGAAACTGGAGATGTGTGTGTGTGTGTGTGGGTGTGTATATATTTTACAGTGGAGCTCCTTTGTGCTCTCTGGCCTGAATGCTCAGGTCAGAACCATCTTGCTTAGCCATCTGTCTCACTATTCCACCCCACCTGCAGCTGCAGTCTATGGTGGACCTCCTGGAGGGTGCCCTGTATAGCATGGATCTGATGAAAGTGCATGCCTACATCCACAAGGTGGCCTCCCAGATGAACACGCTGGAGGAGGTAAGGGCAGGGCCAGGGGCCCAGGGCTGTTTCATTCTGGTGGCCATAGGAAGGAAACTCCAGCAGGGAGGAGGGTGTGAGCTGCAGGGTCCTGCTGTTGGGATAGAGGTTTCAAAAACCCAAGGAAGCTAAAAGCCTGGATAAAGAAACTGAGGTACTCTTTGGTAGTGTGAAAGGAGTGTTGAGGGGGTGCTGCCAACATCAGGGTCCACGCTGCACAGGGTCTGGGGTACCGCTCCCGGAGGGTTGTCTTACCTTCAGTTGTGTACAACCTAACAGACTTGACCAAGTCCCAGTGGATTTAACAATCCCAGCACTACCTGTGTAAAAGCAATGGCACTAGAGGACAGACTGAACAAGCTGTGTATTCTATAAGACTACACTCTCAGTACAAGAACATTTGGCCAAGCCTGGAGATCCAGGCTGTCGGTTTAAGGCTTGCCTCTCTTGGCATCGCCTGGCCTCCACCCTCCACCCATTTCCTGCATCCGGCCTCTGCTGAGCACCAGGGATCTAGTGACACGCAGCTGCCAGGAGCAGGCGTGGGGACTTCCTTTCCCAGCTTCCTTTCCAGAGGGAGGTGGTAACTGGGCATCCTGTGCCACAGGAGGGAAGACTTACCCTGACTAAACCCAAAGCTGGGGGTCCCAGTGACTTAGATTATCTGAGACCTGTTGGGTCAGGCCAACTGGGGAAGCTGACATGAGAGCTTTTCTTGGGCACAGTATTACCTATGTGTGCTCTCACAATGCTCTGCAGCTGCCTCTGTAGACCAGGCTGTCCCAGACTCACAGAGATCCGCCTGCCTCTGTAGACCAGGCTGCCCCAGACTCACAGAGATCCACCTGCCTCTGTAGACCAGGCTGCCCCAGACTCACAGAGATCCGCCTGCCTCTGTAGACCAGGCTGCCCCAGACTCACAGAGATCTCTCTGCCTCTGTAGACCAGGCTGCCCCAGACTCACAGAGATCCGCCTGCCTCTGTAGACCAGGCTGTCCCAGACTCACAGAGATCCGCCTGCCTCTGTAGACCAGGCTGGCCCCCGACTCACAGAGATCCACCTGACTCTGCCTCCCTAGTACTGGGATTCAAGGCATATGCCACCATGCCTGGCCTACTCACATCTTTTTCTTATGCTTATTAATATAAGCATATATTACCACCATTTTTTATTCATTTGGTCATGAGAATAAGATTCATTAACTACAGGTCTTACAGGACTTGCTTTCTTCCACCCTGTTCACCAGTGCCACTTGTATCTATGCCCCTTGAGTCTTAATGGCCAAGTTGGCGTGCCCTTCTAGGGTGGCAGCTCAGAAGAAGCAGGGCCAGGAATGACCATGAATCCTGCCCCACAGAGCATTAAGGCCAACCTGAGCCAGGAGAACGAGGTGGTGAAAGACAGCATACGCCACCTTAGTGAGCAGCTGAAGAGCTATGAGAACCAGTCAGCCATCATGCTGAGCATTAAGAAGGACCTGTCCAGCCTGGGCCTCCAGCTGCTGCAGAGGGATGCGGCTGCTGTCCCTTCCGCTGCCTCAGCCTCAAGCTCTGACAGCAAAGCTCAGGTGAGACCTTTGTTCTGGTCACAGGGACAGAAGGTGGCTGGGCTTGAGGACACGGGCTTGTGTGTGTTTGGAGAGTCCATGGTGTGCAGGGCAGGAACTAGGGAGTGTCTGTTTTTACTTTGTGGCTAGCACAGGTAAGCTGGGGCACCTTTGCAGATTCAATCCAGGGGCATGGCTGACCCCTAAACTGGGTATTTATTCTTTTTTTTTTTAAATTTTTATTTATTTATTTGTTATGTATACAATATTCTATCTGTGTGTATGCCTGCAGGCCAGAAGAAGGCAACAGATCTCATTACAGATGGTTGTGAGCCACCATGTGGTTGCTGGGAATTGAACTCAGGACCTTTGGAAGAGCAAGCAATGCTCTTAACCGCTGAGCCATCTCTCCAGCCCTGGGTATTTATTCTTATCCTCAGTTGCCAAAGTACTGGAAATGAGGTTATGAGAACCTCCCTCTGATCTTAGAGAACCAAGCCAGCGTTCCTGCAGGACTGCTTCTCGCCTCTCCTACTGTGGCTGGGCCCCTGGGTGGGTGTAGGGTAAGTGAGCAGTACTACAGGGACCTCTGAAGACTAATATCTTACCCATGTCTTTGCACAAACTTAAAATCCCCTTGCTCTAGTTGCCTTCACAAATATTGCTGTGATAAAGACCATGACCAGAAGCAGTGTGGGGAGGTGTCAGGTCATACACCATCACTGAGGAAAGTCAGGGTGGGAATTCAAGGACCTGAAACAGAGGTGTGGCAATACTCTGTGTTTTAACAAATAAAGCTTACCTGAAGATCAGAGTGCAGAGGTAAACCACTAGAGGCCAGGGAGTGGTGGCACACACCTTTAATTCCAGGACTCTGGTGACAGAAGTAGACAAGTTTCTGTGAGTTCAAGGCCACCCTGGGCTACACAAGAGTGAGCCAGTCTCAAAGAGAAACAGAGCCAGGCAGTGGTGGCCCACACCTGTAATCCCAGCACCAGGGAGATGGAGGTGGGAAGTAATATGGCTGGGCAGAGAGAATATAAGGAGGGAGGAGGCAGGAGCTCAGTGCGGTCTGAAGCAGTCATCTGAGGGTGCTGTCTAAGGACAGATCTCCCTTTTGGTATGAGCATAGGTAAAGGCATAAGGTGGCTGTCTACACTGTGTCTCTGACCCTTCAGGCAAGCTTTATTTGTTAAAACACAGAATTTCACCACACAGTCCATGAAAAAACACTGCTTACTGGCCTCCTCAGCCTGCTCTCCTATATAACTCAGGGCCATTTGCATAGGGATAGCACCACGCACAGTTGGCTGGGCCCATCCAATCCATTGTTAATCAGGAAAATGCCCGCAGACTTGCCTGTAAACCAATTTGGTGGAGGCATTTTCCCAAATGAGGTTCTCTCTTCACAGATCACCCTAGCTTGTGTCGAGCTGGAAAAAAAAAAAATAAATAGCCAGCACACCCCTGCAGGTAGAAAAACTGACCTCCTACTTCCCAGATAAGTCAGGAAGTCAGTGTTCTTTCCCTGGGGGATACTCAGAGTATGTCATTTGGCCAAGAGTGCAACAAGTAGTGCCCCTTTGGTGCCCCTCAGATCAGTCATCCATGGGCAGGACCCAACCCAGTAGCCTCATTTTCTGGTGATATTTTTAGGAGTCCTCTGAGCCTGACTCCCTCACATACAGTGTTAGTTAATCCCAGAGCCTGCGCGGAGAATTGACCCCCTGCCTACTTGGCACATGAAGAAACAGGGAAAGGGGGTGGCTGAGCCGGGCTGCAGCGGCCTTCGTGACTGCCCAGCCCCAGCCCTTCCTCCTCAACTTGCACCTCCTGTGCTGACAATGCAAGAGTAGCGTTGTCGATACTGCAGGTGGGCCTGCCTAGACACAGGAAAGCATGAGGAAGTCTATGCCGGGGCCTGGAGCCGCTGCCAGGGAGATGCCAGCCCTGCAAGTGCAAGCGAGTCCGACGTTGGCCGCTGCTCAGAAGCCATCAGATGCTGTACATCTTATCTGCCTGTCTCACAAAGGTGGCGTACCAGACCCTGTGTTCTTGTGCCAAGCCGGCCTCAGAGCATTTGAGTAGGAAGTGAAATAACAAAGCTCACAAAATGTTAGATATGGCATTCCCTAGGGCTAGCCAGACCAACATGGGACTGAAGGGCTTCTCAGGGTGCTATGATTTCAAGGCTAACATGGGGAGCATTCTGGGTACTCTGTAAGGAGACTCAAGAACATCCCCCTTCCCCATAAGCTAAGACCAACGAGTGAGAGACAAGGGTAGGAGGCCTCCTCAGGAGCGAACCTGCCAGGCAAGCCAAGAGAACAAGTGGACAGGAGTTGGGAATGAGTGTGTAAGCCGCCAGATTGGGTCTCAAGCCTGCAGAGGGGAGAAGCAGAGGCAAACAAATTATTGGATATATCCACTGTGGAACTTCACATACCCTGTGGCCACCTCCAGCTCTCACACACTCCATGACTTCTGCTCTTCCCAGGACACAGCTGGAGGGCAAGACAAAGACCTCGACAAATACGGCAGCATACAAAAGAGCTTCTCAGACAAGAGCCTTGCAAAGTCTCCCCAGGAGAAGCAGCTGAAGGTGGAGAAGCTGAGGAAGGAGAGCATCAAGGGCAGATTACCCCACCCCACAGCCAGGCCACGTGCCCTAGCCCAGCAGCAGGCTATGATCCGAGGCTTCACCTACTACAAGGCGGGCAGGCAGGAGGCCAAACAAGAAGAACCGAAGGCCGCGGCTGGTGAGTGGGAGGGAGAGGGGCCTATTTGAGGGATGGCCAGCTCCAGAGATCCACCTGCCTTCTCAGCAGTCACAAAGTCACAGATCACAGCACCATTGTTTGCTCTTTTTAGGGTCTGTTGCTCAATCACACACTGGGTAGAAAACCCCAGGTAGGGCTGCTGATAAAGGCAACACAAGAGGCCTCTCCCAGGATCTTACAGCTGTCCTCACCTTGTCTGAACTTTGGTTCAAAGATTTGCTGCCTGTCAGCTATGTGCAAGGTCACAGAGTGAGGTGGACGAGGGTCCTGCTCGCCATGGAGCTTGCAGTTCTATGGGAGGAGCCGCGCCTGTGACAGTGGAGATTGGGAGAACTTGGGGCTTTTGGAGAGTGGAGTGGGCCGCTGGGGAGCCCTCTCACTTCTGGACCGGCCTCTCCAGTTCTCTCCTGTCTCATTTTCCTGAAGAAGAGTGATAGACCCTGCCCTTTTCCTGGTCCCTGGTGTCTCCACCTGGGTCACAGCCAAGGGCAACACAGAAGTAACTGGGTTCTTCCAAAGGCAGGGATGTCAAACAGTTATAGTCCAATATTCTTCAAGAATGCCCTCCTGTCAGGTTCAGAGATGAAATCCCAGGCACTCAAGAACTGGAGACAGGAGTTCAAGGGCAGCTGAACTATACAGTAAGAGCCTGACTTAAAACAACCAAAAAGGCTACTCCAGGCTTGGTAGCACTGGCCACTAGGATATTTGTTGTTGTGTTTTAAAGATTTACTTAATGTACACAGGGCTTTGCCTAAAAGTATGTCTGTGTGAGGGTGTTGGAGCCCCTGGAACTGGAGTTACAGACAGTGAATTGCCATGTGGGTGCAGGGAATTGAACCCTCGTCCTTAGGCTCTTAAGCTCTGAGCCTTCTCTCCAGCCCCTACAATATTGTTTTAAGTTCAGGGTCTCCCTGGTACTCAGAGTGATTTCAAGAGTAAGCTAGGCAACTTACTGAGACCCTGTCTTAATATATGAAGCAACAGTGGACTGAGCTGTGGCTCAGTGGCAGGGACAGAGACGCTCATCTATCACACCCAAGATCTTACTGATAAGGTGAAATTCCCACCACAGGAACTAAAAAGTGCTCAGTCAGTAAAGTGCTTGCCTCTAAAGCATGAGGACCCACATTTGATACCCAAAAGCCACATTTTAAAAAATACTTGGTATGGTGGCCCAGACTTGTTTGTTTTTATTGTTGTCTTATTTTGTTTGGTTTGAGTTTGTTTATTTTTATTTTATGTGTTTTGCTTGCGTGTATGTCTATCTATGTGAGGGCATCAGATCACCTGGAACTGGAGTTGCATACAGCTGTGAACTTCCATGTGGGTACGGGGAATTGAACCTGGGTTCTCTGAAGAACAAGTGCTCTTAACTGCTGAGCCATCTCTCCAGTTCCCCCGCCACACACCTTTAACATAACTTTTTAAATATTTTTTAGAGATTTATTTATTTTATGTGCGTGCATTGGTGTTTTGCCTGTGTGCATGTCTGTGTGAGGGTGCCAGAACCCCTGGAACTGAAGTTACAGACAGTTGTGAGCTCCATGTGCATTCCTGGGTCCTCTGGAAGAGTGGTCAGGGTCGTGTCGTGTTCTCCCCCGCACCCATAGGATTTCTCTGTGTAACAGCCCTGGCTCTTGAACTCCCAGAGATCCTCCTGCCTCTACCTCCCAAGTGCTAGGATTAAAGGTGTTGCTACCAGCCCAGCACAGTCAATGCTTTTAACCACTGAGCCTTCTCTCCAGGCCAGTAGCACACATTTGTAATCCCAGCACTAGGAAGGCGTCCACACACAAGTGTACCCCATACCATACATTTATGAGAGAGGGAGAGAGAGAGAGAGAGAGAGAGAGAGAGAGAGAGACCCTGTAAAAGAAAAGGTCCCTTCATTTCTGAGCCTGCAGGGTGTATCCTCCTCCCCTAGTCCCTGATACCAGCTGTTGTTCTTGAATCCTGCCAACTCAGCCTGGCACAATACAGGGCCTCTGACCCCTGGCTGGACCACTGCCCAGGCACAGCTTTGGGCATCTAACTCTGCCAAGAATGCTCATGGGAATAAGCCTCCTGACCTGACAGGCTGCCAAGGCCGTGTTCCCTGTGGATTCCCTGACGCTTTCCTCCCACTGGGTCTCCTGTGTGGGGACAAAGTGGCCTGCCCAACTGCAGGCAAAGAGGAACCCACTCAGCTGAGCCTGTACTAGCACTTGGGACCTGGAAGGCACAAACACAGCTAGAGAAGTAAGGGTCTGAAATGAGCGAGGGCAGAGATCTGTGCTCTAGAATTGACAAGACACTAGCTGCATCCATCCCTTCCTTGATTGAGGTCACAGACACTAGTGAAGGAGGTTCAAGGCTATCAAGGTTCCCAGGAAGGTGACTGAGAGAAAGTCTACATTCCTAAACAAGGAGTTTTGCCTGTGGAACTAAGTTTAAGGCATGACAGAGTTGGAACAACGTCCTTAACGCTTAGAAGAAAAAAAGAACCTTGTATTTGCCACCACCTGTTTGCAGAATCAGTACAAATGTCTTATAAACATATTCTTCTAATCAGCACTATGGTTAGGACACTCATTTTACAGAGGTGCAAACCCAAGGAGGTAAGGGAGTGGCAAAGCTGGGCCCCAGGCCAGAGTACCCATGGGAAAGTTCTGTGGACTAAGAAGTCTACCCATCTCCTACTTGAGGCCTTCCAACTCCTCCATGGTCAGAGAAGACCCTGAGGAGCTCTGTGGCAAGGCTGTGCATCCGCACTTCTGGGGCATGGCCACTAAGTCATCCTCTCTCCACAGACAACACCCTCAAGGGAACTTCCTGGCTGGAGAAAGTACCACCCAAGATGGAGGCCAAGCTTCTAGAACCAAACTCCGTCAAACATAATGGAGTCATGCTGAAGGCTTCAGAACGACCCAACTTGGCTCCTCACATCTCTACTTCCACCCCAAGTCCTGCCACCACTCCCTGGCACACCGAGCCACCTTTGCATCCAGAAGTCCCAAGCCAAGGTGAGTAAGTCTCCTAAGAGTCAGAAAACTCAGTCAGCTTATGACTAAATCCAGCTCATGTCTTGTTTGGCTCTTGATCCAAGAATGTTTTTTTAATCAAATTGTTGATGTTTTTTTGTTTGGTTTGTTGTTGTTTGGGTTTTAGTTATTTTGAGGCAGGGTCTCACTGTAGCTCAGGCTGTGCTGGAGCTCACACCCTCCTGCCTTAGCCTCCTCAGTGTTGGCATTATAGACATGTGTCCCCACGCCTAGCATACTTCGAAATTTCTTATTTTTTAAAAGGAGTGTGTGTATGAGTGTGTGTGTGTGTGTGTAAAGAGAGAGAGAGACTTTGAATCACTTTCTGACTATTCATTTTTTAGAGGCAAGGTTTCTCCCTAAACCTATGGCTTGTGTTTTCTTGACTAGGTTGAAAGTCAGAAAATTCCAGCAAAGCTGTCTGTGTGCCCCTCAGAACTGGGGTCACAGGGGATAAACATTTTTGAATTCCCAGTATTGGGTTTCTCTACCAAAACAGTAAGCCAAATCAACCCAAATTAAAGGTAAAGGACCAGGGTTATCCGAGCAAAGTATTCCCAGGTGATCTCTGGGAAAGAGTAGAAATCAATCACATGGCAGTTCTATGGACCAGAGCTTAAATACCCTGTAGGCAGGGTTTGAGCAGCTGGGGGGGGGGGGGGGGGAGGTTGGAGAGGGAGGAGGGGACCTGAGGCAGAGCTTCCAGCAGAACAACAGGTGTGGAGGGATGCCCCACTTGCTAGAACTGTGCTGGGCTCCAAACACAATCCTCAAGACTGCACAGCAAGCACTCTTAGCTTGAGCTTTGTGCTTTAAAAAGAATTATGTGGAAAAAGAAAGACTATGGGGTAGAAGTTTGTCCCCTCCCAACCTAACATAGTTATCCCAGGAGCCTTTGCAGAAAAATGCCAGCATTTAACATGACTGTTAAACAGGTGTAGTTGCAATAAATTCTTTTAAAGCGTGAACTGGATACCTACCACTCAATCCAACCACTGAGAGCTTTCTTAGGTCCTCTTTCCAGTCTGTTTTGTTTGGGTTCCAAGGTGTCAGGACTGAGCCCATGGCCCAGCTGCCACCTCTGAGCAGCACCCCACCTCTGAACAGCACCCCACCTCTGAGCTGCACCCCCAGTACTCTTTGGCTATTTTTTTTTCTTTATTTTATTTTGTAGTTGGTTTTTGGTTTCTGCATTTGTTTGCTCATTTGTTTTGGTTTTCTTTTCTTTCTTTTTTTTTTTTTGTTTTTTTGCTTTTTTTGAAAAAGGGTTTCTCTGTGTAGCCATGGCTATCCCGGAACTCACTCTGTAGACCATGCTGGCCTCCAACTCAGAGATCCGTCTACCTCTGCTTCTTATTTTTTTTTTTTAGATTTATTTATTTATTATGGATACAGTGTTCTATCTGCATGGATGGCACCAGATCAGAAGAGGGCACCAAATCTCATTATAGATGGTTGTGAGCCACCATGTGGTTGCTGGGAATTGAACTCAGGACCTCTGGAAGAGCAGGCAGTGCTCTTAACCTGTGAGCCATCTCTCCAGCCCCCTACCTCTGCTTCTTGAATGCTGCAATTGAAGGCATGTGCTAACATGCCTGGCTCTTTGTCTGTCTTTATGTTCGCATTGATAGCTATAATTTGTGTCACACAGTAGAAATTGTCCTCAGTAACACATGGATCAGTCCTTCTGAAGGGCTGTGACCACCTGTGATTGCAAGCCTTCAGACCCTTCCTCGCTCTGGCTCTGTGTCAGCTCTTTCACACCTGTCTTTCCAGAAGGACCCACAAGCAATGTGGACAGCAGCTGCAACTAGTATGGCTTCCTCCCAACACAGTTCCTGGTGCCAGAAAACTGGAAATAACCTACAGGGCTGAAACTGGGGATGGGGAGTGTGGGTAAATTAAAGGATACAGCTGTCTGGTGGTGGCAGGAGGACCCAGACGTTCCACCCTTAAAAGTGATGTGAGAAATTGGTCAGCGGCAAAAGAAAACAGGATATAGAAAGCCATGTTTGCAGAAGGATCACAGTTTTTAAAAGTCTGCATAACTTCATGCAAAGAAGAAAGACAGGGAAGGAAGCACCATGTATTCAAAAGTTGCTGTGTATACTAGACTTCATCTTAGGACTGTCCTCCCTCCTCCTTTCTTTCCTCTTTATTTTTGAGGGGGGGTGTTTTGTTTTGTTGTTGTTTTGTTTTTGTTTTTGAGATAGGATTTCTCTATGTCTTGGCTGTCTTGGAACTCGCTCTGCAGACCAGGCTGGCCTTGAACTCAGAGATCCACCTGCCTCTGCTTCCCAAGTGCTGGGATTAATCACGTATGCTGCCACCACCCTACTTCTTTCCTTCCTTTTTGAGGCAGGGTCTTGCCATGTAGCTGACTGGCCTGGCACTATATAGCCCAGGCTGGCCTCAAATTTTCAGCAATGGCAGTCTTCCTACCTCAGCCTCCACAGTTTGAGGGTTACAGGCATTTCCCCCACAACCAGCCTCAATTTTCAAGTATTAGGAGACACCCTGAACTCATCTTCTGTCAGACGATACTTCTGAAGTTTTGGTCAGCGTCTCCCAAGCCCACCACTCCCCACTGTTCTAGTCTCTGCTTCTCTGAGATGAACCTCTTTTTTTGTGTTTTATTTTCACATACAGTGGATGCTGGAGTTTTGAATGGTATGCATCTTCTCTGTTCTTCTTTCTGGCTGTTCCTGCTTTTTCCAGTGATCAGGCATTGTTTTGCTCATAAGCCAAAGGTCACCAACAAAACCTTTGAGAGAGTTAAAGTAAACTTAACTTAATACATGGTACCCAGTATTCCAGAGGCTGATACAGGTGGATCTCTAAGTTTGGGGCCAGCCTGGTCTACAGAGTCAGTTCCAGGATAGCCAGGGCTACGCAGAGAAACCCTGTCTTGAAAAGATGGACTTGGATCATCTTCCTAGACCCAGTGCTCTGGCTTGGAACTGGTGGTTGTGTGTATCAAACGTTGTGTCCTTTGCTCCTCACAGGTAAGGTCAGCTGTGAGGGCACCCTCCAAGCTGTGGACCCCCCTGTGAAGCACCACAGTTATGGGCGCCATGAAGGGGCTTGGATGAAGGACCCTGCAGCTCTAGATGACAGGATCTACATCACCAACTACTACTATGGAAACAGCCTGGTGGAGTTTCGGAACCTGGAAAATTTCAAACAAGGTCAGGGAAACTGGGTAGAAGAGGGGAGGGAGAAGAGTGTGGTTGGCCTGTGACAAGGGTGCTCCATAAGACCCAGCCTTCCTGTGCCTGTGGTTTCCAGTGCCCAGCCTGTCCTCCAGGTAGCCTCCTGCCCTAAGGAAGGGTGTCACCCACTGCTGGGAACTGAATACAGGGGCAAAGGAGAGAGTGTGGCCCGGCCTCATGACAACTTCCATTTGCTGAGTGTTCCGTGCACTTGTCTGTGGCTGTCTCTCTTAGTTAGGCTTTCTATTGCTTCATGACCAAAAGCAAGATGGGAGGAAAGTGTTCATGTGGGTCGCCCTTCCGTATCATCGTCATCATCAAAGGAAGTCAGGCGCCTTTAATCCCAGCACTCAAGAGGCAGAGACCAACCTGAGTCTCTGTAATTTAGAGACCAGCCTGGTCTACATAGTGAGTTCCAGGACAGCAAGAGCTACATAGTGAGACCCTGTCTCAAACAAACAAACAAAAACTATCTAGCTCAGTGTCCACTCACATTTTATGAATCTTCCTAAATCCACGAGGCCCTCCAAGAAAGCAGGCCTCGGGCCTTAGAAGACTTGTGACTCTGGGCAAGGCCCACAGGGGGATGTTAGCATAAGGAGGACAATTTTTGATTATCAGATCTGGGGCAGGACAGGGGAAAGGTCATTAAGACTGTCTCACCTTCCAGAAATCTATATTCTAGAGGAGGCGAAGGCATAAGGGGGCAATCGTGGTACAGCCTAGGGCAGTCTAGTTCAGTATCTGTGGGAAGAGTGTGGAGACATAGGAAGGCTTCCCCAGAGGGCTTCAGGGGCTTTACAGGAGAAAGAAGGGAAGGTGTTCCTCACAGAAGCAGCGTGGTGTCATGCGGTGGAGTGCACCCACCCGATCCCATCCTGAGAACCATGGGATCCTAGAAAATGTCCTGAAATAGCTAATGCTGTAAAACGGCAGCGGGAGAGGAACCTTGGTGGGCCAAGGGCTGCGTGGCAGGTAAGAGCCCAAGATGGGTGAGGTGCAGACACGCCATGCAGGCAGAGCTTACATGGGAGTTTTTGTTTGTTTGTGTTGTTTTTAAACATTTTAAATGATTTATTTATTCTTATTTTGCATGCTTTGGTGTTTTGCTTGCATGTATGTATATATGAAGATGTCAAATCCCCTGGAACTGTAGTTGCAGAAAGTTGTGAACTACCATGTGGGTGCTGGGAATTGAACCCAGGTTCTTTGGAAGATCAGGCAGTCAGTGCTCTTAACCACTGAGGCATCTTGCTAGCCCCTATGTGGGAGTGTGGGAGTTTTATTGAGATAAAGGGAATGGGGGGAGGATAGGAGGAGAGGAAGAAGAAGGACCAGCCTGCCTCTTCAGAAGAGCAGTGGGAAAGAGGGCAGGAATGGGCAGAGTTTGTCTCTTAAAGGGACCTTTTGCACCTGCATACAGTCTATGTAATGACATAGCAGCCACAGGACCCTGGCCTGGCCTGGGTACTGCCTGATGCATCCTGCCAGGTGACAGGGACCAGCACGATCCTAACAGCTAACATCTTTTCTAAGCTCGAAATTTACTTGTTCTGTGGTGTCTGGAGCAGCTCACAGGCTGGTGGATGTGGCAAGAACTAAGAAAGAGGGTTAGGGGAGGCCCTTCACTGAGACTGGGGAAGTCATGCTGGCTAAGGACACTGAGAGACAGGTTCAATGGGGAATAGCAAACCTGACTCAAGGAACATCATATGCAAAGTCTCTGAGATAGAACACGGGGTTGGTGGGCTGGAGAGATGGCTCAGAGGTTAAAAGCACAAGCTACTCTTCTAGAGGTCCTGAGTTCAATTCCCAACAACCACATGGTGGCTCACAACCATCTGTAATGAGATCTGGTGCCCTCTTCTGGCATGCAGGCATACGTGCAGGCAGAACACTGTATACATAATAAATAAATCTTTAAAAAAAAGGGGGGGGGGAAGGCCAGGCATTGGTGGCACACTCCTTTAATCCCAGCACTCAGGAGGCAGAGGTAGGCAGATCTCTGTGAGTTCGAGGCCAGCCTGGTCTACAAGAGCTAGTTCCAGAATAGGTCCCAGAGCTATATAAAAACCCTGTCTTTCTTATACAGCCTAGGCATGGTACCACCCACAGTGGCCTGGGCCCTCTCACATCCATCATCAAGCAAGACAATTTCCCCAGATGTGGCCACAGGCCAGTCTGGGCAGTTTCTCTAGATTGTGTCAAACTACGCAGCACATGTGGGCTGGGGCTGCCCAGGGTACTCTGGTGTGACCCTCTCCTTTCCATACGCAGGGCGGTGGAGTAACATGTACAAGCTACCCTACAACTGGATAGGCACGGGCCATGTGGTGTACCAGGGCGCCTTCTACTACAACCGTGCATTCACCAAGAACATCATCAAATATGACCTGCGCCAGCGCTTTGTGGCTTCCTGGGCAATGCTGCCTGACGTGGTATACGAGGACACCACGCCCTGGAAGTGGCGTGGCCACTCAGACATTGATTTTGCTGTAGACGAGAGTGGTCTGTGGGTCATCTACCCAGCTGTGGATGAGCGAGATGAAGCCCAGCATGAGGTGATTGTGTTGAGCCGCCTCGACCCCCGAGACCTCTCTGTGCACCAAGAGACCACGTGGAAGACACGGCTGAGGAGGAACTCCTATGGGAACTGCTTCCTGGTGTGTGGTATCCTGTATGCTGTGGATACGTACAACCAGCACGAAGGCCAGGTGGCCTATGCCTTCGACACCCACACAGGCACTGATGCTCACCCACAGCTGCCCTTCCTCAATGAGTATTCCTACACCACTCAAGTTGACTACAACCCCAAGGAGAGGGTGCTGTACGCCTGGGACAATGGCCACCAGCTCACCTACACCCTCCACTTTGTGATCTGAATGGGCACCTATGTTCACAGGGGAGGGCAGTAGAGGAGCAGGGGCTGTCCCTAGCAACTCCTGCAACTGCTGTCAGTATCAGTTGGGGGTGTCCTGGGCAGGTGTTAGCAGGTGACACTTGCTTCCCCTGCAGAATGTTGTGCTGAGGGCTTTTCCTGCATTTACCCTTCTGATTCTTTCCACTGCTTCCTGTGGAGGCAGAGATCCTTAAGCCCACTGAGCAGAGGAGGTGACTGAAGCCCCGCGGAGCAACATCTCAGTCACAGTAGGGCAGGCTGTGTTCCCACGATAGCCACATTTTATAGATGAGATGACCTCGTCTAGTTCGTCCCCTCTCCAGGACCCTTCCCACTGAGGTCTCTGGGTCCTCTGTGCTGATGCTCTGGAGCTCCAGGCCCCTCTTCTGGTTGATGCTGGCGACCTTGAGCCCAGAGCCTCTTGACCTGGGGTCAGCCACAAAGCAGGAACCACACCCTGAAGCAAGCACTGCCTCCCTCCGTAGCTACTTCTTGTCTTCCTGCTCCTTGCACGTTCTCAGCAGCTGAGAAGGAAAAGGCAACTCAGCTGTGGTAGGGTAGGGTGCTGGTCTGAGTTCCCGCCATCTCAGCTCCTGTACCAGAAGCCTTGCTAGGCCTTGGCCATCCAATAGGCCTTGGATCCTTCCCTATCCTTTCCCAAAGGTTTGGGCCTGGGGTTCTTTATGGGCCTTCAAAGCTAGTCTGTTCACACTCAGGGTTTGCCAGGAGTAAGGCCTTTGTCTCTGGAGAGTGTGGTCCCAAGATGGAACAGGCTTCCTCTTCCTTGTCCATCCTGAGCTGGTCGCTTGGTGGGCTGGTTCAATTCAGTAGATTCAGTAGGGAATCTGGGAAATACAGGACAGAGGGGTTCAGAAGAGACCTTGGGCCTTGTTAGGTTGCAGGACAAAACCAGGAAGTAGAAGCAGGGAAAAATAGCCTGCAGTCTCAGCGCCAGGATTTTCTTTGATAGAGTTCACAGGGTTATGGACATACAATTGTATAAGCTATCCTACAAGGGGATTGGCAGCTGCCCTGGGGCTGCTTGTGGCTCAGAATCTCCAGACACAGGCAGGCCTGAGAACATGACCATTTAAGCCACCTATGACTGCTTTGGACATTCTTTTTAAAGATGTAGAGAAACTTTTTTGCCCATCTCCTTGTTTTACCAAAGAAAATATAGGTCCCAACAGTTCTAGGGTATGGGGTGGAACCATCCAGGGCAGGGTATGGCTGATCTCCTTTGGGAAAGCTCTGTACTCTCCTACAGATCCTCAGCACCTTTGAAGGTGTCTACCAACGACCCCTACCCGGACCCTGGGCCCTTCCTTGTGCCCTGGGCCCACTCCTAAGATACCTGCAGTGGGTACCAGCTGCCCACTGTTCAGTGCTGATAGGCAGATTTAGGTTGTCTGTAGACTTCATTTCCTCCAGACATTGCTGGGTGATGTTTTGCTTAAGGAATAACTCATCCTGAAATAAAGAGGGACAGTGACACCCAGCCCAGCCAGGTCTGACTCATAGTGGTAGCCACACCCAGCTGACCACCACAGGCTCCCCTTCCAGCCTCTTCAGAGAACTTGGAATCCCCTGTTCCCACCCTCCCTCCCCCCAAAGCCTGTGCACACCCTGACCTTTCCCTTGGTTCTGGGTGTGGGTTTGTTTTTTTTTTTTTTCAAGACTGTGTGTTTTGTGATGTAATAGCCCAACCCTGTGAGAGGTGCTAAGGCAGCTGCAGCAGTCTGCGGGAAGGGAACACTAGGATACACTGGTTTGAAGAGTAAACACATATGGCATAGTTTCCAGGGGTGGGGCAAGGGCCTGCCATAGTGACCAGTCATCCTTCAGGTCCCTTCTGTTTCCAGCCTTTGTGTGCTCTGTGGTAATACAGTTCATTTCTTCATTTTAGATAGTCACAGTGCATGCCAGGTGAGTCACTTGTCACATAGGCTGGCAATGGAAAGTAACCTGTTCCTGTTATCTGAGAATCATCAGTGTCCTCAACGGAGAGGGCCCACGGGCATGTGGAGGCAATGACGTGGAGGAATTTGCCTATGATCACACAGCAGTGTAGTCTATGGCAGAGCAAGGGGGTCAGGGCTCCTCAGAGCATGCTTTTTGCCATCTTCATGCCACGCTGTCAGCAAGCTCCAGGAGGGATGTTAGTTGCAGCCATTCAAGATGGCCATGGGAAAAGCCAGCTTGTACAGAGCTTTGGGTGCCAAGCCAAGGAGTGGATACAGCTAGCCAAGTCTAGAACAAAATGGTGTAATCTAACAGAGCCAAGAAAATTCTGACTGGATTTTATCCTGTTGGTGATGAAAAGCAGGGAAGGAGTTTTGAGTTTGCCAGTTTGTGAGCTCTAAAGGAAATGTGCCTCCCGCTACCTCACACACAAACTCACAGACACCTTCACACACACACACACACACACACCACATACATGCACACCCTTCACACACACCACATACCTTGGTGTGTATTATGTTGGGCAATGGGTACTTCCTAGGAGGCAAGGCCTGGGCTGTATAGAACTGCCCACTGACCTTTTTACAAGGGCAAACCATCTAGTGTCTGAACAACTCTAGAGGTGAGGAGCTTTGGCTTCCATCACTAATTCCTCTCCAGAGATTGCCAGGCCTTGGGAGTGTTGGGGGTGCTAGGCAAGTGCTGGATCACTGAGCCACTCCAGCCCCTCAGTCTTTGAATCCCACTCTGGCGGGGTAGGGGGGGGATGACCTCCACCTTGGGGCAGCACAAAAGGCGGGAACAACTGTGAGGTCCTGTAGGGAACTGTTCTCCCTGCAGCATCAGATAACCTTTGTGGTGTGATGCTGGGCACTGTGTGTCAGTCCAGGTACAGGGAATGGGGAGCCTGCCTCTTCCATGCTGCTCTTCCCTAAGCCTGGGAGGGGCATTAAATTCCTGAGACAGCAGGGACCAAGGTTTAGTGAGGATAGAAGACTTCAGGAGCCTTCCCTGCACCTCCAGAATTGGGAGTCCCCTCGATCTGTAGTCTCACCAATCCACCCTGGAACCCCAAGATTTCTCTCATGGGTTATGAGCCACAAGTTCCAAGAAGTTGATCAGTGTGCTCAGGGCCAGGTATGTAGCATGTAGAAGTGAGATCCAAACTAGGTCTCTAAACCAAAGTCCCTAACTGTTGTAAGTAGTCATGGTTTATGTTTTGTTTTTCTTGGATTAGGCCAATAGGAAGCTTAAAGACAAGTTTGCGATCATTTTGAACATTTAACCGGCTTCATTCTAGCCTTTTGTATGTACCTTTACCCTGATTTATTTTTATTCTACTGTATTTAATCTGTCTTATTAAGGTGCACCAAGATCTTTTTGCAACAGTGTGGCATATACATAAATAAAACTCATGAATACAGCTGAACGTGGCAGTGCATGCCTTTGATTCTTGTATTTGGAAGGCAAAGACAGGCCGATCTCTGAGTTTGAGGCCACCCTGGTCTACAAAGCAAGTTCCAGGATAGCCAGGGCTACACAGAAAAACCCTGTCTTGAAAAAAAAAAACAATTTAAACAAAAAACCTGAAAGCTTGATTTAAAAATCTTAAGTAAGGCCAGGCTGTAGTAGCATACACTTTTAATTCCAGCACTCGGAAGGCAGAGGCAGACAGATCTCTGTGAGTTCTAGGCCAGCCTGGTCTACAAGGGCTAGTTCTGGGACAGGCTACAAAGCTACAAAGAAACCTAAGTCTCGAAAAACAAGAAAAAGAAAGAAAGAAACCCAGTCTTGAAAAAAGACAAAAAAATACCAAGGAAAAAGTCTTAAGTACTGTGATCTACAACTGGGGTGTAGCTCCGTGGCATTCTACTCCTGACAGCATAGAGGGCCTGGCTGTTATTCCAGCATCACACAAGAAGGAAGCAAGAAAGCAAACAAACATTTCTGGTCTGTATCCTTATCACATCATATATATTTAATAACTTTTTTTGACCCAGGCTGGCCTCAAACTTGGTATGACTCCAAAGATGGTCTTAATTCTTGGTTCTCCTTTCTTTGTCCCTTGAGCAGATTCCGGTGTGAGCGATCATGTCCAGCAGTATATTTGTCCTAGTCTGTGTCAGTGGGATCAAAACACCATCAAAACAACTTGGAAAGGAAAGGGTATATTTTCTCTTGTGTCCAGGTAACAGTTTATCAGTGAGGGAAGTCAGGGCAGGACTCAAGGAAAGAATCTGGAGGCAGGAGCTGTGGAAGAGTCCCTGAGGACTTGCTCAGCCTTTCTGGTACAGCCCAGGGCTGGCTCTACCTACAGGGGCCTTGACCCTCCCTCACCAATCCCACAGGCCGACGTGATGGAGGCAGTTCTTCAGCTGTTGCTCCCTCCTCCAAGTTTGACAAAAACGAACCAGCACAATCTTTAATAGCCTAAAAAAGAAAACATTAGAGCTGGGCATACGTGCACTCAGGAGGCTGAGGCAGGAGGATCTTGCATTTGAGGCCAGTTTGGGCTACATAGAAAGACCCTGTCAAAAAAGAAAGAAAAGAAAACTTATTTCAAAACAGCAACAACAAAAGTTTAGTCTGAGGACTGATTGCTTCCCTGTCACTAGAAACCAACCAGTATACTGTGCAATGTGGAATATAACAGGGTAAAAACTCTGGTTGGTTTTTGTTGTTGTTGTTGTTGTTGTTGTTGTTGTTTTCTCGCCATTTCCCACTTTATGTGCCAGTGCAGAAATATTTTTTTTTCTCACTCTGACGCCGTGGCTGGCCTTGAACTCACTATGTAGACCAGACTGTCCTCAAATTTGCAGAGATCTCCTTGCCTCTGCCTCCAGAGTGCTGGTATTTAAAATATGTGCCACCATGCCTAGAGAAACAACTTCTAATGTGCCCCTTCTCAAAGATCAAAGATGGGAAGTGGGACAGAAAAATATAGTGATATTTTACTTATGTTTTAATAAGTAAAGCTTGCTTGAAGATCAGAAGGTAAAACAGCCTCTAGAGGCCAAGTAGTGGTGTCACACACCTTTAATCCCAGGAATTCGGAGACAAGGGCAGATGTGAGTTCAAATCCACCCTGGGCTACACAATATCAGTGCAGAAACAGATCCTGGTGGTGGTGGCTCACACCTTTAATCCTAGAGAGTCACATGCCTTTAATCCCTTAATAAAGGAGGCTCAGGGCTTGGTCTGCAGTCACCTGGCCTTGGTAGAGGAGAATAAAGGTATCCGGCTAAGGAATTTGAAGACCACTGGACAAATCATCCAGAAAGAAAAATGTCTCAAGAGTAAAAGTATATCACATTTCCAACAGGATAAAAATTCATAATCTTCCCAAATGTTTGTTTCTGCTGTTCTCTAAGACATGTAATGCAAATGGTCTGTTGTAGTCCCAGTCCAGCTAAAGATCAAAGCTGGCTCTGGAGTTGGAGTGTGGCTCTCTCCTTCTCTAAACCCAAGCATGTGTATTAAAGTGAAATCCAAAATCTCTGTCTCATGTCAGAAGAGCCACCTGATATGGGACAGAAGAAAAACAAATATTTAAGGACTATTTATGTTATTGCTACTAATCTTATAATCCTTTGGTTTTATGTTGATCCTTTAGCAGCTTTTCTTAAGGTATAAGATTTATAAGACATAAACACATATACACACACGTATAAAACTTTTTGTCATGATATTAAGGGTCATATAGAGTACTAACTAATTCTAGAAAAAGGTCTCATATACCTTCCTGTACATGAGTTTAGGTTTGAGTCTCCATCAGTTTTCTGCAGTAACCCACAAGCATGCCTGTTATGGTAAAAGTAAAACGCTCTGTTCCCTGGGCAGCAGATCACCACGAGGCTGGTGAGAGACCTTGGTGGGGCAGCCAGTCCTGTGAGGAGCTGCAGCCTTGCAGGTGAGAGACTGACAGATAGGCACACCATGCAGAGTGAGGTTGGGTATTTATTTAGTGGGTTATGGAGGAAAAAGAGAAAAGGAGGAAGGAGAAGGGAGAAGAGCAGAGAAGCAGAGAGAGAGAGAGAGAGAGAGAGAGAGAGAGAGAGAGAGAGAGAAGGAGGGGGAAGGAGAGTCCTCTCCTGACAGCAGCTACCTCTTTGGGAGACAGATGGAAAGGAAGGGACTCAGGCTGAAAGCAGAAGATCTGCTTGCCTTAGCAGGGGGAGGGGGTTGGGGGTGGAGTGGGGGGGGGGCTTGTACAGATCATTGCTTGGCTGTTTTGCTTTTCTGATTTTCATCTTGAACCTCAATACCTGTCTCTCAGTTTTTATTATTCATGTTACAGAAAAAGAAGCAAGAAGAAGCAAAAATGTCTTCTGGAGAATCAGTGTCATGAACTGGGAAGTGGCCTCAGATGACTTTTGAAACCACTGCCTCAAATGCCAGTCACTTGTACTGTCTTCTCCATCATCTTTGCCTCTCATCTCAGGATACCTCTCTATTCCTTTTATTTTTAAACATTTATTTATTATGTATACAATATTCTGTCTGTGTGTATGTCTGCAGGCCAGAAGAGGGCACCAGACCTAATTACAGATGGTTGTGAGCCACCATGTGATTGCCAGGAATTGAACTCAGGACCTTTGGAAGAGCAAGCATTGCTCTTAACCACTGAGCCATCTCTCCAGCCCCCTACCTCTCTATTCCTTAGGTCTGTCTATCTATCTACCTATCTAATATGTGGGGGCTTGTGTGGTGGTGCGGGTGCCATGATACATGTAAAGGGCAATAGACCACCTGTGGGTGTCAGCCCTTGCCTTTCCAGTGTTTGGTTTCTGGTTTTTTTTTTCCTGTCTTGGAATCACTCTGTAGACCAGGCTAGCCTTGAACTCACAGAGATCTGCCTGCCTCTGTTGTAGGAGCTGTGGGTTGCCACCCAGCTCCCGCCACTGGCTAGCTTTACCCGAAATAACAACAGACAAATTGTATTCTTTTAAACACTGCTTGGACCATTATATCTAGCCTCTTCTCAGCTAACTCTCGCACCTGGACTAGCCCATTTCTAATAATGTGTGTAGCACCCCTAGGTGTGCTTACCGGGAAGATTCTAGCCTATGTCCATCAGGGGTCGGAGCTTCATCGATCGCATCTGCCCAGGAGAGGGGAGCATGGCCTCTGAGCTCACTTTCTCTTCCTCCCAGCATTCTGTTTTGTTTACTCCTCCCACCTATGTTTTAATCTATGAGGGCCAAGCAGTTTCTTTATTTTTTAACCAATGACCTTCCTCCATTATGCCTCTGCTTCCAAAGTACTAGAATTAAAGGTGTGTGCCACCACTGCCTGGCAGTTGTTTCTGTTTTTGGTCTTTTGAAACAGGAAATATTTAACTCTGGCTGTCCTGGAACTTCCTATATAGACCAGGCTGGTCTTAAACTCACAAAACCCACCTACCTCTAACTCTTCAGTGCTGGGGTTAGAGTGATCACTACTCCCAGCTTCTGTCTTGCTCTAGACAGCATCTCTTTGCTGCTAATTGGCCTACAGGCTTCTGGAGGTTCTTCTGCCTCCACATCCATCTTCCTGGAGAACCACAGTCGAGATTCCAGACAACTGCATTACTGTGCCCAGGTTTTATTGGGTTCTGAGATCCAAACTCCTTTCTGTAGGCTTTGTGGCCAGTGATTTTTCAAACACAGCCTTTTCCCCAACCCTTTGCTTCTCTGTTTCTTACAAATGTTCTCATTCCTTTTATGGAAATACTTCTTTTTCCCAAATAAGCTTTTATAAGTTGTTAGCCAAGCAAAACAATTGTTTTTAATTTTGAGGAGAAAACTGAATTTTGCAGTAGTAAAGAGAGTTGGTATCAGTGACCACAAATAGACAGCGACTGTGTGCCACTTGAATTCAGGCAGTGCTGGGCATTCTAACTTGTGACTTTTTGGCTAAATCCCCAGACCATCCTCCTGCCCTCTGTTTAAGAAGGTAATGAGTGGGGGTCTTAGTGGCAGAACACTTGGTTTGCATACCCTAGGGTCCACTCTCAGCACTGCAAAGAAAAACAAAAGTAATGGACTGGTTAGGTGGTTCACTGGTAAAAGTGATTGCAGGCCTATTCATCCCCAGAACCCTGGACTTAGTGGTTCTTGACATGGTGGTTTGGATACACACCACCATGAAGTGCTCTCTGATTAGTTACCCACCCTGCCTCGTACACTTTTTATTTTTATTTTTTTAATATTTATTTATTTATTTATTATGAATACAATATTCTGTTTGTTTGTATGCTAGCATACCAGAAGAGGGCACCAGGCCCCATTACAGATGGTTGTGAGCCACCATGTGGTTGCTGGGAATTGAACTCAGGACCTTTGGAAGAGCAGGCAATGCTCTTAACCTCTGAGCCATCTCTCCAGCCCCCCCTCGTACACTTTTTAAAAAATACTTATATATTTTTGTTTTATGTGTATGA